CGATCCACTACACTCAAGTTATTCCCAACGTATTATTTGCAGTCTCTCAAAATCACAGCCACTTTCTGACTTGGTCTTGTATATTAATTATCTTTTATTGTATGCTGTGATGTGGCCTGGTGTGCCTCTTTATAAGCCACGTGCGTCTGAAATATGTGATTAATATAGTGGAGGCTTACATTAGTGTTCTGGACTCAACAGGCAGGGGTAGACGAGAAAAATTAATGAGGATCTTATGCTTCTCGTACTGGCCAGCACGTCATTGGTTTGGCACAGTAGTAAGATCGTATAAGTCGTGTTATGATTGGCGGTCTTATCACGTGAGAATTGACAGGCCACAAGTCATAACAACATGAATTTTTAACCTCTAGCATATATGCTACTCAGGAGTGATCTTATATTTTGAAGCCTCCCGAATACCCTTCGTCATCTTGTTGAAGGACTATTCGAACTCAATTCGAACTCAAACTTTAAGGGAAATACACGGAAGTCGGAGGTAGAACACAGTCGCCTTTAGAAATGCCCAGGAAGTGAGTTTTCGCTCAAGATTTAATAGATGTTTATAATGTAAATTCAACAGCGGGCATGCAAGGTGGTCAGGTACTTTACATGTTCCATTAATTTTGTGTAACGATCATAAACATTTCGCCTCAACATCGTGTGGAAAGTTATTTATTCGTCCTGATAGCGTTTTGTTGGATTCGGGCACAATATGCTCTTTAATCAGCAGCCCTATTGTTTCTAATGGTGTGTCCTTGTACGATACTTATAATGTACATCTCAACACGCCAAACGGGACTTTGATAGCTGTTATAGGCAAAATAACACTGCAATGGACCCTTGAACAATCGACTTTTATACATCATAACTTTTTCATACGGAACCTATCTAAGGACGTTACTTTAGGCACAAACTTGTTGACTGAATGTGAAGAATTTTTAAGCTTGTAGAAAAAGGTATATATGCTCCGGAATTCAGTTTGGAAATTGTGTAGATACAGTGGAATGCTAATCAAATGGAGACAAATAATATTTCACTTTTACTGACGAACTGCCCTCCGAGATATTTAGGATTAATAACAAGAATTTTAAAGAAGTTTTATGACGTATTTGCCTGGGAAACAAAAGATATCGCAAATGAAAAACCATGTAGTCCTATCCCTATCGTTTACGTGTACAGCTTAACGAGGCTTTTAACGTCATGATAAAGGACATGTTAGGTCGTAATATAATCCAATGTTCACATCACCATATACAGGACCAAAACTTCCTAGTAAAAAAGAACGGGACCTTAAGACTATGCATCGATTATCAAAAATTCATTGATGTCACAAAACGTCGCTCTGTTTCATTACCACGAACAGACAATGCATCAGATGCGCTGACCGGTTTAAATAGGTTCTCAACATTAGATTTAGCATATGTCTATTGGAAAATTGTAGTACATCCAGATGGTCGACGCAGGACGGCTTTCACAATACTATCAGCTCTACATTAATACCAAACAATGACTTTTGATCCAACTAATGAGCCCTCTACTTCACAGCGATTAATGTATACAACACTATCAAGGTTAGTGCTACTTGCTTGTTTGGTGTATCTGGATGATTTTATAGTACATGGGTCAAGTTTTCGAAAGCATTTAGAAAATCTGCAAGTAGTTTTGGGACGCCATCAGAAATTCGATTTAAAAGTACAGCCATAGAAATGCTTCTTTTTGAGGAAGTAAGTAATGTTCTTAGGTTACGTCGTTGATAGTCAAGAAATACATTCAAATAGCGAAAAAGTCGATGTTATACGAAACTAGGTTGTTCCACAAAATGCTCATCAATCCCGCGGTTTCTATGTTTAGCAGCTTATGATAGAATTTTTATCTAAGGATTTTCCGGGGTTGCAGCTCCTCTTCATGATTCGATACAAAAGGACGTCAAATTTAAATGGACTGATAAGTACCAGCAATTTTTCGACCGGTTGAAATAGTTGTTGTGTTTGACGCCAAATTTAGCATATCTGGAATGTTTCCTGATTTCTGGTCGTTCCATCTTAGACATCGACACAAGTAACCAAGCTATCGGTGGGGTGTTACCACAAGTTTCTTCAGACAGGAAAACAAGGGTCATTTTGTACGGAAGCCGAATTCTACGTAAATCAGAAAAAAATATTGTACAACACGTGAAGAGATGCTAACAGTCATTTGCTTTGTGCTCTACTTCCGACATTACTTATTGGGAAATAAGATTGTTATTACAACTAATCACAAAGGTTCAATGTTTTTACATAATTATAGAAATCCGGAAAGGAAAATCGCTCGATGGCAAGAGCGCTTGCATGAATATGACTACGGATGCATTCATAGTCCCTGTAAGCAGCATCAGAATGAGGATGCTCTATCACGTGGGGCAGAAGAACCTCATGAAAACTGCCCTCAGTGCGTCACACAGATGACTGGTATAATAGAGTTGAAAATTACGTGAGATATTGAATTAGTTCATATTCAGAGAACGGATCCGGAAACTGCAATAGTGTATAACTTTGAAAAACCAGGATTCTTAGACACCTTTAGAAGAAATTCAAGGTGTGAGTCTGAAAGGTAGATGTCTATGGTCCATGTGGAAAGCCCTAACAACGATAGATGGAGTATAATATTTTCGTCATGGACCATGTTATTCTAGACAACTAGTAGTTCCGCAGTCTATGATGATGGTGTCTTGTGTGATGTTGACGATCTCAGGTATATCATAGTGTTGAAGAAGGTCTTACAAGATTCTCCCATCCGCATTGTCAAACGCCTTGTCATAGTCAAGGAAGTTGATGTAAAGTGATAAGTTCCATTTAATTGATTGTTCAACGATGATCAGTAGTGTTACGATTTGGTCTGTGCACGACCGATCCTTACGAAATACGACCTGTTGATCTGGAAGCTGGTCGTCTACTGGGTGTTTCATCTGGTTTAATGAAACTTTGTCGAAAACTATTCCTGGTACTGACAATAGTGTGATTCCTCTATAGCTTCCACATTTGCTCAGATGTCCTTTCTTGGGTATCATGATGAGGTGTTCTTCTCTCCAGTCTACCGACACTTGTTCTTCCTCCCAAATGTTCCTGAATAGAACGTGGAGCACGTTTGCAGTTGCCTCCACGTCTAACCTCAGTGCTTTAGGCCGTATATTGTCGGGTCCTGCTGCTTTTCCACTCTTGATTTGCCTGATGGTCACCCTGATTTCTTAAATGGGGTGACATCTATAGGAACGTTTGTAGGTGCCGCTTCGATATCTGCGGCAGGTCTATCCAAAAGTTCCTCGAAGAATTTCATCTATCTGTTCCTCTTTTCTTCGAATCTCGGTGATTTGCCTGCCTTATTTATCGTTGGGTGGTCTCTCTGGTTTGCCATATTTCTCCGTCAGTCTTTTCGTTGTCATGTACTTGTTCGATATTTTCTTCTGTCTCAGCTTTATCATCTGTCGTTGCTAGTTCTTCCACGTATAACTGCTTGTCGGCTCTAATGCTCCTCTTCATTTGTTTTTTTGATTCTATGTATTCAGCTTGTGCCTTAATATTCCCTTTTCTTGTTCGACTGTTGTTAATCACTGTCTTCTTTTTCTTCCTTTCTTGAATCTTGTCCAGGGATTTGATAGAGATCCATTCCTTATGATGACAATATTTTTGGCCCAGAATCTCCTGACGCATTTAGGTTAATGCTTCTTTGATTCCCTTCCAGTTGTTCTCCATAGACGTTTCTTCTTCTTTGAGTTGATCCTGTAAGGCTTGGAACCTGTTGTTGAGAGTTATCTTGAATTCGTTGAGTTTGTCAGTATGTTGAAGGAGGATGTACTGAATCTTTTCTATTCTGTTTTTCCAATCGTCCAATGTTGCGTTAGCTTCAGTTTCATCTTGGCAACCATCAAGTAGATGGTGATCTGAAGCTGTCAACTCCCCTCCCGCTTCTCACATCTCCCACTGACCTGAATTTTGAATGATGCAAGTATGATCTATCTGGTTCTCAATGGTGTTGTCCGGTGAGATTCATGTAGGTTTGCATATGTATTTATGTGGGAATATTGTGCCGCATATAACCAAACTGTTGAGTGCATATAGGTTCGCAAGTCTCCCATCATTTTCGTTTCTTTCTCCTAGTTCATGTCGTCCCATGATATCTTTAAATCCGGTGTTTTGCACTCCCACTTTGAAGTCTAGGTCTCCCATCGAGATGGTGAGATGGTTCCTAGGCACTTCGTTATGATTGACTGCAGCCTTTCTAAGGCTGATCTTTATTGACGTCATTGATATCAATGGTGGGTGTATAACACTGGATAACATTCATCATGATTCCCTACTTCTTTGTTTTAAAGGATTCTTTGATGATCCTGAATCCATGAGATTCGCATCCTATAAGTGCTTTTGCGCTCCTTTGAGCAGTGTCAAAGCAACTATCTGACTTTGCAAAGCATTTTCTTCCTCGTGTGTAGAGTACAGCAGCATCTTTCTCGAATCTACTGTTTTCTGTCCGGCTTGAGTACGATAGGTTTTACTGAGCACAACCAAGCTGTGTCTCCTCATTTCTGCAGCTATTTGATTGGTCCTCCCACATTGTCTGGACGTTCTGTGTACTTTTATTAGTTGTCGCTCTGGTTGTTAGAATGGACAACGGCCTCTTGACTTCCGAAGAATCTTGACATTCAATTTGAGGCGTAATAATTCTTACTTCAACTCCTAAGACGAAGTTTAAACCGTTCGTTTTGTTTGATCTGGTTGAGGTTTTTTAGTAAGATTTTTTTTCCCACTGGACGGGGTTGCCGACTGCATGGTCGACCCTGCCCCTTTATCTGGGCTTGGGACCGGCAGTAACTTTAGAAGAGCTACAGGCGGAGTTAGGCACAGATAGAAGCGAATCGAGCTGAGAATATAAGCACATCTCATTGAGAGATTTGTTCAAATGGCAATTCCAGCCAACTGATCAATAACTATGATGCAGACCATGTGACAAAGTTTAAAGTCTCATTAGCGGGGTTTTTCACGGATGGTTCTGAAGGTCAGTAACACCTTCGATAGGAAGCAACTTTTAGAAACGCTCTGAAATCCAACAGTGTGTTAAGGTTGACTGTTACTTGTTGACATTTTTTAAAGATATAACGCACAATTCTGTCAGATTGTTTGCATCTTAATTTCGTTTGTCTTTTTGGACTTAAAATGTTTACTTATGAAGAGGTTGAAGGCACTCAACACTTAAAAACGTCAAGTTATAGTAGATGATCGCCATTTAATCCAGTGTTCGATGTCGATTTCATTTTTATTTTGTAATGCTCACTCACTAAAACTCAATAGAGAGATTAATCTCTCTATTTTGGGGAAAATTTTTGTCCGTTTTGGGGAAATGGCACAAAACCCCAAACATTTCCCCAGGTCTGGGGTAAATCCCAAAGCGTTTAGGGAAATTCAGGGTTTTTTCTGATATAACATAGTTTTTTTTCAAACATTTGGGAAAACCCCAAAATTTACCCAAAGTTTCCTCAAAATTGAGAGATTGGGAATGTCTAATTACTTCATCATCTTATGGTTGCATGTCAATTTTAAGGTGTTTCGTATCTTCATTAATTCCAGAATAAATACTTTAGACGTAATTAATATGACACAGTAGTTGATACTCGATTTTCCTAGAAAACTTGCAGCCCTGTCGGATTTCAAGCCCTTTAAACTGTATTTCTAGTAGCAGTTTAATATCAGTATGGCCTACAATGTTGGAAAGTATACACGACTTTAGTTGGCATACTTAGACTCCCATCCTTTACATTGCTGAGGAAGTGTGTTTCACGCAAGCTATAATGTTACGAGACTAGTTATAAAGTAAAGTGAATCAGCTTTACAATTCCATTTTCGTTTAGGCACTTCTCATTCTAATCAGTCGTACTGCATCCAACAATAAAGTTCTAAGGGCCCAAATAAGTTTTCAGAATTACGATGGCATCCCAAAATTTACTTTGGTACTTTGGGTAAAAGTAGCCTTGATATGGACAAGTGTTCATCGGTTATAAAGTTAATAGCGATTCGCAACATTACGATACCAACAACTTTTCTCGTGCAATTAACTAAAGCAAAAACATATCGAAAATTCATCGTTATCGATTATATGTATTCTACGTGTTATTTTGACAAACTAAAACATTTACATTACCCGGTATTAAGGACAGGTATTTGCTTTCAAAACATTTTTCATAATTCTGCTTTGTTCCGGCAATCTAATCGTGTCAGGATGTGCTAAGCCTCCCTAGGTACGGTTTCCACACTGAAATAGCACTGGATAGTGACTGTGGACTCCTGTTCGTGTTATACTCTGCCTCTTGAAACTTCTAGAGGATATTCAATTGAAGTATCATAATACCTGCATCACCATATTAATCGGGTTTTCCATATTTCAAGGATTTCTTTTAAGAAATCAGTTTACTAATTTCCAGTAATGTTTCATTGGCGTTATCTGTGATTTGCCGAGTAAGGAATTCACTTATTCAGTGGTAATCGGTCCTTATTTTCTTAATAGTTGGGCGCTCATTCAGTTGTAGTTCAAAGCTTTAAATTCTAAACGCCATGTTACATTTTCAATGCGTACTTTGACAAGTTAACCTCCTGTTTGCTTAATTTCTGCTAGCTAAATTAAGTTTCGATGTCGACAATCGCTGTATTATTTGATTACTAATATCATTATGTTGGTAAATGCGCTAAAAAACAATCCGATCAAGTTTAAACCACTGTGTTCATATTCCAGTGAACATTAATTCACAAATAGTGTCTGGTCCTACGTTGTAGCTGACTGACTGACTGCATTGTTTTCTAAATGCTCTCCGAATACGTCAGGCTAAACAACGAGTCTGTTGTCAAGTCTTTTGTATAAGCTACAAACAATATACAACTAACAGACGGAGTAACTAAGCGTTAACTTAGGACATTGAGTTTTAGTTTAAGAAAGTCAAATAATAGAGTTGAAAACATGAATCGTCTGAATTATTTGGATATCATGTGTGCGTGTTCACCGATATTATAGTGTTTATGGTCCATAAAGTTTAAGATACGTTTCAAGGATACCAAACAATAGTTAAGCGTAGAATTTGCGATGATTAATCTTAATTTTTAAGCTAACTCCAATGATCCATTTTTCAATTAATTCTTATCCACCTCAATATTATTTACAATCGGCACTTCAACTTTTTTCTGTTCTTGCCTTATTCTCCTAGTTTATTTTGGTTTGTTTTCTTATGTCATAGAGATAAAAAAACAAGCAATCTAAATTTAATTACATGGTAAAAATACTGTTCACTGACGGTTACTGTTTGTCATTTGGAGCACCTCATTAAAATGCCGTTCTCAACCTTATTATTATAGGTACTTAATACGTTCACGCGCTTCTACAAATATGTGATTCCCACATTTGGATATAGAAATCAGTTTACCGGGCAAAATGTAGTATTTGATAAATCTGTTAAAGAAAAACAACGCGCACGATCAGCACTTACTGATGATCCTCACATGTATGACTACATACGTGAAGAAGTTGCCGACCGACTAGCTGATCGCCTAAATGATATATCAAGGTTATCATTGTTTTATCTTTGTTCTTGAAAATGTGATTTGGAATGCAGTTTCATGTCATGTTTTTACAGAAGTTGCGTTGTACAATCAAATATTTGTGTTATTTTTAGTCTATATTGCCTAACTTGACTTAGTTTTCTAACCGGGATTCTCTGTGAATACCTAGTTAACTACCTTATATGACTTCTCAAGGTTATTTAAATCTGCATAAGTTGATTCTAGTCTATAAAAATCAAGATCGAGTCGTTATTGTGTAAAAAACTTACATAGAATTTAAATTTTCGATTTCTCTATTCTGAATGACAACCCAAAAGAAACTTCCCCACCTATAGTTTTCTCCTTTTTAAGCTGTCGAAGAAATAAATGAGATTTCATCCTGATTACAGTAAAAATGAGTTAGACTTTCCAATCAAAATATGAGAAAGGCTAGTGTCATCTCATCAACTACAGCATTCGTTAAAGAAACAAAAAATACCACTTTGTGAAAACTATTTGTATGTTTCGAAAATTCGGAGTTCAGACCATTGAAGTTTTACATATATTTGGTTAAAAAAGGTCGACATGCAGCCCTGGACCTAGGCTTTGTACTAGCTTTCCCCTATCAGGAACTTGTATTTTCAGTTTTAAACAAAGTGGCATCCTACCCGGGACTCAAGCCTGCCTCATTCGTTATACTGAACAATTGTATTACTATTTAATTTTAGACTAAAGACCATAGTATTGTATGGTCAACATCAAGAATTTCTTTAATTTACAGTATTTAGAACAGAATAATAAAACTATATATTTATGTGATAAATCTACAAATTCTTAATAAAATTGCTGTGGTCATTATTGTTCACCGTTTTGTTGATATATGGATTCTTCAGTTACTTTAATATACGTAAAATCAAACCTCCTGTACAACTCAATTGAACATTGTTGTAAACATGAAATGAAAAGGTACTTTGATTGTGTTTTTTTAAACCATAGAAAATTCGATGTCGCTTTGGATATTGGTTGTGGTCGAGGGCATTTATCTCAGTTTGTCACATCAGATAATATCGGGGTTCTCTACCAACTAGACAGTTCATCTGAGGTCCTAGTATGTCTCTTTTTTGTTAGTTGTGAGTTTGTTTTCGGTCATAACTAATTAATACACTCGATGTTTCTATTCTGTCAATCAGTCTATTTTGATCCAAGAGAAATCTGTTTCAGTTTTCATTGTATTTTGAACGGTGGTTGGCAGTTGGAATTCATACTTCCTTTTATTTCGGACTACTTATATTAGTCCCCACTAAAACCCAGTACCCAATCTTCGAAAATCAAGTTGTTTAATTACTAATGAAGTAGATAAATATTTGTAAATAATTATTTAAAGTTCTTAAGTCCTGATAACATAGTCACGTAAAAGACCGTAAGAATACCATTATATTTGGGAATTACACTCGAAAGGATTCAAACATTCATAATAGTTAATGTTTTTGATTATCTGTTTTGGTGACATTTTTTGAGACAAATCTCAACTTAAACATTACATTTGTTCTTTTTAACGTTATCAATCCAACCATGTCGGTTGGAGAGTTGTCCTCCCTAAAAAAATACGTAGCTCACTCTGGCAGCTTATTTATTTATTTGGACACATGAATATTGGTACAGGAGAGCGCCAATATAAATGCGCCACTCTGGCAGCTTGGACTAATGCATATATGTGCCTGGTCCTACGTTGTAGCTGACTAACTGACCCATAGGTCTCCAGTGCCAGTAATAGTGTCTGAAAAGTGCGGGGCTTATATAACAAAATTACACACAAAAGTGTATACATGATCCATGTTAAAGAGTTGTCTCAGTGGTCACTCCGTAGGTTGACAAAATGACTATTAAATCAGTCATTTTATGTCTCCTCAAGAAGAGGTATCATCCCATAGTGTGGAAAACTCAGAAGTTAACCATCCCATATACCCCCCAACAACACAGCGGTCTTAGTTTAAAGTATGCGTGAATGATAGTACAGGATATATGTTCCACCTGTCACCGTTTGTACAGGTTCATCAACGAACTTGAAATTAAATTATTCCATCACTAATTAATTTTCTCCTAGTTGCTAGTGTTATTTGCTCAAAGCAATTAACAGATGTCCGTATAAACCTAATTAATTTTAAGAGAGAATTTTTGAAATTGCCCTCTAACTAAACTAGATACAGTTGTGATATTTGTTATAACCTTATTTATTCATTTATTTAAACCCATAAACATTGGTACAAGAAGGCCCCAAATACGTATGCGTCACACTTCGTCATTCGATCTGTGTGAGAGCTGGAATACTGCCCGGGTGCCAAAACTGAAACAGATAATTTTCTTGGAGGGTCATTCCCCGAACCTTTTACCGAGAGGTTTAATCCACAAGGCAATGGGGCTTTAGATGTAGTCCCATGATAGCTGGTGACTAACATTAAGTCTATACGCCTTTTGTTTCCTCAGGATCCTGGAGCCCATGTGCACCATTGGTTTGAATTCAGGGTTTTCTTACTCCCCTAGGTAGATCCTCCATAAATACCAACCCGGTTAAAGCTCCGAGCATTCGATTTTCGACCTCTTAATTTCTTAAACAACAGTAATACTGTGAGAAGATAGTGAGTAGGACTTCTCTGACAGTGGCTGTATACGCGTGGCCATCTGAGAGAATTCGGAGAAAGACCTGAATCTTCCACCCTCTGCTGTACCATGCATTTGGGGGATTGTTATAACTAATTATACTCACTTCATTTATCCATTCCCCTCTTATTTATTTCAAACCGAAATAATAATGAATAGTATACAGTAGTAATTTGAACAGGAGATATCAATGTGAATTACATGATGTATTTTTTATTCTATACATAAATCTCCATTATTATTTACCTAAATCCCATTAGAAATCATTTCAAACATCAAGGTGTTGGCCACTAAACTAATCAGTTACCAGATGACTTATAGGTTGATAAACCTTTCACTGAAAGCTATCATACTCTCTTATTGTAACAACATCAAAATACTTCATGGCAAAAACGCCTTATATGTTGAATAGAAAAGAATAAGCCATACCATCTTACGTAAACAATCTAGTATAAGTTTATTATATAGTAATCTGGTTGGCATTTTGATATGTCAGATGAAAATAAGCCGTGATTGGTCACTATACAAAGATAAATACCCAGTCTGTGATTTGTAACATAAGGAAGTTTTTATAGTGTAACTATAATTTCTACTCTCAGTCTCACCGTGCACGAACTGCTTATATTTGTCTAGCCTACAACTTAGTTCCAAATTGGTCAAAATTGTGTATCTGTGCTTCATGTAATCTAATCTACTGTATTGTCTAGTATCCCCAGTCTGTTATCCAGTTTATTATTAGCCTATCAGGTGGATGGACGTTGAATATATTTTTTAAATGTTATATGACATTGCTACAAAGATTTGAAAGAGATACAGAAGAGGAAATATAGTGAGTATATGAAATTCAAAATTTTCTATCATTTTAAATCTAATATTATTAGGCTTTTTTTTATCAAGCACCAATTCATATACTGTAGGCATCAGGTTATTAAATAATTCACTAATCGCTTAATCTTTACCTAATTTATAGTTTATACACGTAACAACAACAACTTTTTATTTTACTAAGTCATCATTCAACTACAATTGTAGTATTTTTAAGCAAAGTTGGGTGATGAGTCCTAAATGAGGTGAAACACTTTAATCACTATTCCCTATACAACTTTTCTCAAAAACAATTGTAACTTAACGCTTATATACGTCGAGTCAGCTCGCTAAGGATACACATATACCAAAAGAAATTGATTAATTCCAATCCTTATCATCAATAACGAAAAGACTCACACCTGTACAACTAAACCTCAATGATAATAGTTTTAGTCAGTAATTTTATGATATACTTGTGATTAAGGTTTTCTTGATATCCTCCCTTTTGTGATTTGTTTTTTGTTTAGAAACAGATTAAGCCATCTGCAGAAGTTTGTACGTATAACATAAATTGCCATGAATACTGTCTACCCTTTCGACCAAATACTCTAGATTTAGTTCTAAGCTCCATGAGGTAAAGTCGCTTTTATTTTCTTAATCTATGCTAGTTGATTGTGTAGGCATTTCAATTTCCTCTTACAATTAATAATGTATCATATAACGCTGAATAAAATTTTACTGGTTGTTTTCGCTGAATGGTGCACAATGTTTCAGTGTTCCAGGCGATAGGTTTTGATTCCGAGTTTCTAGTGGGAACATCAATACTGGAATCGGTTTATATCCAAATAATGAGTCTTAAATGAAAGATAAATGCTTTTCTCGAATTTCGCTACCTAACTGCTATTTCGTATTCAACTATACTGACAAGTGTATGTCATCAAATTAATTATATTAAAAATGGAAAGGACGAAAAGGAACCCATTAAATGTGAATCTAGTTTTCATATTCCCTAGTTCGTTAATTCTTTTCAGTCACTTTTCAGCCTCCCAATGAATTTCAAGTATCCTTCTTACAAGGTTATTTAAACTATGTTATTTAATGACATAGTCATACTATGGTTTGGTGCTTAAAGTATTTGAATTCTATACATAACTGTTTGACGTTATAATAATACATCACTGACTGGGATCATAATTCACTTCTTTATCACTGCCTTTACAAAAAATATAAACATGAACTCCATTTTTGTCATTACACTTGTTTGCAGCTCGCCAGGTACAGACACGTTTACTTCGACTCGAGCATCATTCCAAGTATAAGGGCTAGTGACAGTATCCGGTTGTACAACCGAAGTAAGTAAAGCAGTACTTGAACCTGTGAGCTAGTGGCTGAAAGTCGAGACCCTTAACCAACTGGCCCATTGCTCTACTGCAATTGATTTCAAAACACAATGTAACTGCTAAGGAGAGTTCAGGTTATCTAAGTTTATATTGTTATTACAGGTTGATTCTTTCTTTATAGAAAAGCTTCGATGACATTTTTCGAATTCATATCCCCGCAATAATCTTTACTGTTACGTATTTGGTTGGTATCCCCTTAGTTCGCTAATCCTGTTTTGCCTCAATGTCGTTGCATGTAACCATATAGACGGAGTTGTTCCTTTTCAACCTCTATACGGTATATAAAGTTTTCTGAAAGTCTCTTTGTCTCTGTTAGCGTTTAGATTATCAGTTCTGACGTGGTTTGTGTGATAGATATCCAGTCTATTCGAGCCCTTGTTCGTTACGCCATATTTAAGGGATCCTCAATTGTCTGTAAATAGAATTTACCGTCAACCAACCAGAAATCTCAATAGACATAACTCTTCTTATGCAAATTTGGCAGTTATATAACGTTCTCAACTATTGATTTAGTCTATCTTGTTTATGAACACTGTACAGTTCATATGAAATGATCATTTGTTATATTATGAAGATGTCGAAAGTTATTTCAAAATTCCCCATTTATCCTCGAAAAACAGGTAAAATATTCTATCTAGGCATAGTGGTTACATCCACTTAATTATAAATCATCACTGAGATATCATATAGCTTGATTTTTATACATTATGTCCATTTATACCACTAAATTATACAAATAAATTTATCATGATACTCAGCTTTTGTGTTATCTTATACCTTTATTCCAGTAAGTGATTATTTTGTCTATCTGATTGTTGTTGTTTTTTTAAAATTCATTTCCATGTAAATTTGAAAGCCTACACTGGATAAACGATCTGCCTGGTTTATTAAAACAAGTAAATATTTTAAAATGAATTATATATTTTGTTTTTATGTTCATTCTTCTCATTTCATCAATACACTTATATTTATTACCAGTGATATTGAACATTTTACTTTTGCCAATTCATAAAAACCAGTTTATAACATTAGTTGATTGTTTGAAGGGGTTTTGTAGAGATTGGTTTGTTTCACAAATAGTATTCTTCATGAATATTGGTCTTATTTGAGGTACTATTGAGAATTGGAGAGCATTGAACAAATTCTTGATCAGAGTTTGATATTATTAAATCTATTTGAGCGTCTGATCACGCTACATGGTAGCGTTCAGAAAATCATAGTTTATCACCAAGATTTCGTTTAGGAAACGAAAAATAAATGCAAAATAGTTGCGAACTTTAATTTATGGTGTATCCGTGAAGTTTAATACATCAGTGTGCCTAGGAAGGAAAAATACCCATAAATTAGTCACTTGAAGATCGTTTACAACATACGATAATACGAATGACAGCTAGTTGCTGTATCTAAAGTTAACAATGACTGTCAACAATCGAAACGATAGCTTACTAGCTCAAAATATGGGAACTGTTGCATGTAAACAAAGAGTCAATAAATGCACGAAACTTGGTAAGTCACAATTACAATTATATGTATATTGTATGACAAATTCCTGTAAATACTTAAGGAGTTGTTACACAACAAGAAAAAAGCGTGGTATATTATGCCTTGAAAATGACGTAAAATTGAACTAGTTACTGAACATTATTCAGTAGTATAATACACCACAAAAGATCATCGAATAAGATACGTATGCAAAATTAACACTTACTAATGGTCAAACCAAAAGTTCGGATACTCTGTATGGACGATACGTTCGTCATTATCAAAAAGAATCGGCTAGAAAATTATCACGGTTTGTTCAACAACATTTTCGACGACATAACACTAAAAACATAATCAAACAACAAATTACGTAATGTTGTCTACCACATTCTCCTTCGAGTGCTACAGTGATAAAAGACATCCATCGCAAAATCCAAAAAGCTCCATATCTGATATAATATCAATTAGCATAGAGTGTCTGTTGTTAATGTTTGCATAGTAAAGTTCGAGTCACTGAGTTGATTCCATGATAAATGATGCTAACGAAATATAGATCCTATTAACTTCGTATAGATTCTACCAATTAACCACGTTAACACAAAGTAGATAATAAAAATTAAATAAGAAACATATTTCTGGATAAAAATAGTTCAGGCATTCAATTACCCAGTCATTTGACCCGCATCCAGATAGGCAGTGCCGCTTCCTCATAGATCTAAGCAAACGTCATATTATGTAGACCGCGTGTAAAGTATAGGTAAGTGAAACGAATAGAAACATGTACACATACTCATATGTAAAGAACGCTCAAGGTTATCAGTAAATAATTTCCAAGTTCATAATATACGTGATCAGGCTAAAATGATATATTTAGTAGGTAACAAGTAGATTGAATAGAGGTATAACAAAAACTGCTACAGATTAGTAGGCTAGGCTACAGCCTAATTTAATTATTCTTTTTTAAATTTTCTATTTATTCATTTGTCCTCAATTATCCCTTCTTTACTTTAACAAACTCTACTTAGATATTAACATGCTTGCGTAATGACGGGTGTTTATTAGGTGTGATGCCAGCAATGGATACATTGTATGAATTACGTGTATCATTGCAATTAGCTGAATTAGAAAGATTAGGCGGAATCTCATCGCACATCAGTCCATTCGTGGATAGTGTAGATATGGCTAATTTGTTACAATGTGCTGGATTCAATTTAATCACATTGGTAAGTATATTATGTTGATAATGTCTATTTGAACGGTGTTCTTTTTTTCTATTGATTATATTTATTCTGAAGTCATATTTTAACATTTTTGACTGATTTGGAGATACTTTTTTCATCATATTTTAAACAACATTGGAAGTAATAGGAAATAAGAGTTTTTTGGGACGGCATAACCATTACTTGACTTATCAAGTATAATTTTGTGTTTTATGTGGTAGGTATGCAGATTTCGGCTGACGTTAAAGTCTAGAATGATTTTTTCATTTTATTTGAGACTCGTCAGCAGGATGTACTTGGATCATAGTGTCGGTGTTCACAGTACAATTTGAACTTGTTACCTTTCTCTTCAAACCCTAACGTGTTATCCGCTGAGCTATTGTGTCCAGATTAATAATCTGCACAGAATGTACATTTACCAACAAAGACTGTTCGAAATTCAGTCTTGAATGTCAACAATGGGATAAATCAAAACTTTACTGACAGTGATTTAATCGCAAATGCATGTATTTTGCTTTAATTTGTACTATTTGTTTGAGGGCTAGTTACATTACCTGACTGCTTAAAATGTATTAGGTGAAGCAAGGTTCGAAACTGTGAATTATTGATTAAAAATTGACCGATTTAATCACAAAATCAGTGGTTTACAATCTTGATACGAGCTATTTGTCATCGTAATTTCTGTCAGTTCTTCACAGCTTGTATCTAAGACTGACCTTAAGTAGACATCAGTAAAAACTAGAACGCACTAGACATATGTTTTTTCCTACTATGGGGCTTCTCAGTAGTATGAATCCACGACCACATCGGGGGTTGGTTGAACGCCAACTCAGGGATATGGAGTTTAACCACTCATCAATGAGACCTGAAGGTTCAGGTCTTAATCCCCGGTGAGGTCGTAGATGCACACTACTGAAGTATCCCATGGTGGTATGTTTAAAGTAGATTTTATCTCATCATCACTAGGTATTCTTAATTAAGATTTGCACTCGGTGTTGTTTTACTTGTACTTTCCCATTGTTATTTAGGACTGCAATTGATCAGTCTCATGTTGGCATATGTTCATCCTGTACGGATTGCCTCGATATAGCCTCAAGTCACAAGCTAACAATGGGAAAATACAAGTAAAACAACACTAAGTGAATTTAAACTTCACCCCATTGCACAAGCAGGTGGCTGTCAGGACTCAATAGCTAAGTGGATAACGCCATGACGTTTCAAGCGAACGGCACTTGCTTCGAGTCCCGGAGTGAACATCAACTCTGCGATGCAGGTACATCCAGCTGACGAGTCCCAAATAGGACGAAACGCGCGTCCTGGATTCCACTGCTAGCCACTATCCATCTTTGCTTAATAAGATTTACACTGTTCAATAACAGACTCAACAGTAAACTGTCTGTTGGATAACCAAGTTAAAGAATACATTTAACTATTTTATAATTGTAATTATTTGTCAGATTTTATGCTTTTCTCACATCATGTGTTTTTTATCACAACTTTCATTATTAATATCCCCTAATATTATTGTAATGTTATCTTTATTCTGATGAATCTTAGTGAGTAGTTGGCTTTCCCTCCCCAAATAAAAGAAACATCCAGTCATTCGAATAATTTCTTTGTACATTTAAGTTATCAACCCGTCGGATTACGTAGCTCTGTTATTCTTTTATTTATATTATTTTTTGTGAACTGATCACTTAATGTGAAGAAATCTGTAATATCGTAGTCCTGCTGCTTATAATTTGAGACGGGAATCACTATAATTTATTTGAAGTAAAGTATGGACATGAAACATTAGTGCAATGTAGAATTATTGACTCTTCCAAAATACGTCCCCAAATCCAAAACTCACGTCCTTAGTAGACCAAAATACATTTCTATGCTAATCTTTACCTACAATAATATCACATGTAAGAGAAAGTACACACACCTGAATTGATACAGTGGATATAATTATCACACTGAATGAAAGTTCATACTTGTCATATTAAATGAAGTGTATACTGAGTTGATACAATAAATATTAGCCTAAATAGTATAGTCTTTTTATTTCGTCATATCAAAATCCAGTCACTCATTTATCATTTAATGTTATGAATCTTCTTTGATCTAAATTGTTACACTTTGTATTTGTACAGAGAAAATAAGAAACTCTTATCTAACTAATCATTAAAAACAACAGATAATCTCAATCCACAACCAAATGTAGGTACGTGTACTTGAATTTAATACCATACTTCATAAAAGCAGCTTTTTATATCATTCATCCACCTAAACCCGAAGTAGATGGGTTAGAAGGAATCAAATTTGTCGCCTATTAGTATGACGTCATTGTCATTGAAACACCACTTGTATACAACTAACTGTCTAGTAAATAATGTTAAATTTGTGTGTAGAATTCTGGACAGATAACTAAGTAGATAAATGAGACAATTCATATCTATACACCCAGACAGAATTCTATTTGTTGCATAAAAATTTGTAATAATGTTAATTTGATAGCCTGACTAAATCATGTCATGTGTATACGAAATCATTTATTCCTCGAGAAAAACTTGGACCTCAATTTTTAAATGCCTTCATTTGTCTTCTCTCTTATTATCCTTGTTTTTTAAAAACATATATGTTAAATCTTAATAAGAATGATTATATCTGTTGGGGGTCCTGGTTGGTCTTTGACATTTACAAATTTAGAAGCAATTAAGCTATTTTAATGTGAACGATTCTATTGCAGACTCGATGACGGAAGCTGATACATGTTTTAACAAGTATTTTCTATCAGACGGCTAAGACTCAATGCAAGATAAACTTGATGTTCCATCAGAACAACTTGAAATGGCACAACTTATTGTATATAATAACAAGGACGTGACCTTCAAGCACATAAAACTAGCGAACCAGCAGTAATGGCAACCAATTAAAAGATGGTAAAAAGCATGTAGTAAATTGAATTAGTAGAAAAGTATTCATGCTTACTGTTCCCGGTATGAATTTAACATTAATAACAAAACTTGAGTAATTTCGCGGCCACCTTAGAAATATATATTTTTCCTTCCCGTAATTTAATACCTCTTTGCTCCTTGAAACATGTGAAAACTTGAGTCAGTTTATTACATGCATAACACTGCTGTGTATAGAGTTTATTTCTGTTTGTGTATGATATGGCGAGTAATAGCTGAATCGGTTGGGTTCAGAAGACACCAAATGAGATGAAATACTGCTGAAAGCCAATTATAAAGCTTCAAGTAGATCCAACGAAGAAGACTTATTTTTTTTGAAAGAAGAAAGATGTTGGGAAGATTCAAAGCACTCCTCGAAAAAGTCAAGAGGGGTCATGAAAACGCTGGGAAATATTTTATCCAATCAGCGTTGAATATAAGTTTTTCAGAAACATCTAGAAAATGAAGATTCACGTTATCACATTTCTGACTAGATAATTATCTATCCTGCTACTATATTTAGCTTGATTCCAGGTTATTCCAGAAATCTAAATTGCACCAGAAATACTATAAATACTCTCGATTTGCTGTACGTAAACCAGCCATTTCTCTCATGTTCAAGTTGCTGAGTAGATTCAGCTTGGGGTTAAAATAAGAGTTTAAGGGAGTGATTCGAGCGTTCACTTAGAAGACCTATCAGTGCAATGTCATTTTCATTGGATGTTTTTTATCGTTAAATTTCTAAATCTGGACAGCGTTCACGTCCTAGTTCAGGTGCTTTTCTTTATCTTTCATATTACACAATTATTTGCACAACTAAACGTGACATACAAAAAAATGTAAATCTCCAACATTTAATTACTCAGTCATTTGTCTTTTGTCACTTTTTATCAATAAAAATTTTCATTTCAACTTTTAGGATGTTGATGAAATTGTAATTCACTATCCAGATATATTTGCGTTAATGAATGATCTACGATTTATGGGTGAATCTAATGCTACTGTTCATAGACCATTACGTTTGAATCGTGATGTTCTATTTGCAGCCTCTGCAATTTACAATGGTAAATAATGGTTATTGTACTATCATATTTTTTGGTTAAATTGTCTTAGTGTTCAAATGAAATACAATATTCAGATGGACATATTTTGACAAGATATAAAGTCATCCTTTGTTGGAATTATTAGCTGTGTAATTCAAATATAGTTTTCTTGTGAGTTTAAAGATGTTTCTTATACAGGCGTTGTTGTACACTTGTTTCTTAATTTGATTTTCTCTAATATGTAACAGAGGAATTCGAGATGTAAATTTCATCTTATAGGGGAATCGACGACTGAAATGTCTATGCCATTATTTAAGGTATAATCAATTTGTAAACGTAGGTTATGTCGAAGTGCCTGTTCAGTTATTCTATATACCAACTAAAATTAATTGAATATAGCTCTTTAGATAGTAGTCACGAAACTATTTACCGTTACACTCTGAGTGGATATTGAATTTACAGCTACGATTGTGGGTGACTTCATGCATTGCACACGTTTCTTAAGAATTTCATAGGTTATTTAACCAATGTTATATGGAATAAGAATTGTTGACGAATTCGAATCCCTCTCTATTTTGCAAGATTTTGTACAATTCTACTTGATATCATGTTATCATGTACTAATAGATGCAATCATCAATGTATAGTTCTTCTAGAAAGGATTCAAATTGTCTGGCTCTTTTTAGTTTTATCAATTAGCGGTAATTCTGATGAACAAATATGTTCTCAGTAACTTCTTTTTCAATTCATATTACCCCACTGACCTTTTCTATAGTCTCATTGGTTTCTTTCAGATCTTTAGTTTGCTATATATCTTGAGACTACAGTCGTTACCATATAAACAGAGTTGGTGTATCACAAATTTTACATCTTGTAATATCAAACTCTTCTTAAATTCCTATCTCCTCTCTTCAATCGCCAAGGGGACTTATTGTTGTTGAACTGTCATCTCCAACTCTCTAGAATTTATAGAAGTTCAATTTCAAATCCTTCGAATACCTAACGTCTTTTTAACTCACTTGGTGTTGTTTTACTTGTATCTTCACATTGTTATTTAGGACTGCACTTGATGAGTTTCTTGTTGGCATATGTTCATCCTATGCGGACATGTGTTTTTTTCCTTCCCATCATATATTCTCATGTTTAGTGCTTTCTTTCTTATCATGTGTTAAAAATATGCTTTCTTCATTAAGTCACCGGTGTTTTCTAGAACACTGCAAACCTATTTATACTATTCGAAAAATTTTCTTCATAATAGATTTTTTTTGGTAGATCTTAATTATTCTTTTAATTAGTCAAGATTGAACTTGTGTTTTTGGATTACTTAAAGTTAAATGTAGAAAAGAATGAGTAGTTGTATTTTTTCGTTGTGATTGATAACCATTATTAAAACTATTGCCTGTACTTTTTCTTAGCTATATCACAAACGAAAACAGTAGCCTTAGTTTCTGAAATTGTTGTACCTTGGTGTCAGTCGTGTAGTTGGTAGTGAGGTAAAAGTTTCACCAATTGAGTGTACTACGCACTTATAACCTAATGGTTAGAAATTTTAGGAAATTGTTATATATATATATATATATTTGCCCTATTTCTTATCATGTGACAAGATCGCCAATCAGAACACCGACTTATAGAACTTGACCCTGTATCAAACCAACGGCACGTTAACCATCACGAGCAGCCTAGAGTCAACTCTGAGTCTTTCTCGTCTAGCCCTAACCATTGGATCCAGAACACAATCTCAGCTTCCGCTGTATGAATTTTGTATTTCACACATACGCAGTTCATATACAAGCAAAATAGATCGCATCACACCATAAAATGGAAAACAACCATTATACGAGATCAGGCCAATAGTGGCTGTGAGTGTGGGATTCTGTAACTGGCAACTTGGGAATATTTTAAGAATAGTAAATCGTATAATAATAGTCAGTAGGTCAAATAAAAATTTGTAATGAAAGGAATATAAAGATATATAGTCTAGTTACTTCATAGATATGCAACAAAAATATATATATACCTCTATTGTTTTTCAAATCTTCTATGTTGCTAGTTAATAAATTCAAATTGTATCACTTTTTATAGAGAAATTCAGTGTTCCTCGTGAAGATGAAGAGAATGAACGTTGTATTCCGGCAACCTATCGGCTGTTATATTTTATTGGATGGAAACCTGATCCTTCTCAAGTAAGTGATCATTGTTCGTTATGTGTTGACTGAGGTATTTTAAACTTCTGAATCCTAGTCGAATACCAAGTAATACATCTTTATGACTGTGAGTCGAACTGTATTTTAAGGTACTCCAAGTCCCTACTAATTGTGAACATATGATTAATTATTCAGCGAAGTGGCAATATCCTCCCTGTTTGCATATTTGTGACTTTAGTGTAATATATGACTTTACACATTTATAAAATGAATACCCCTCATAAATACTCTTCTTTGTTATGTTTCTTAACTTAATGATAACAACAAATTGTTAAATGAAATTTAATTCAATCTAACTCAGCAATCAAGTACCGATTCTTATAATCGTCTTTCAGTCATACTTTTTGTCCACGAGTTTATAACACTATCCAATTTCCCCATACTAAAATAAGTGAACCGGAGTTTGGACTTGTATCATATTGATTAAAAGCTTAATGACTAAGCTACTGATTCACTTAAATGAGTTGATTGTTTCGACTTCTTCTCTATTCATCTTGTTAATTTTATTTCATCCTGCTTACGTGGTGGTATAACAACTTTGGCTGACGAACATTTGTACTAGGCTCCCTGTCTTAATTATGACTGATTAACTCAAACTAGTCCTAAAGCAGTATTTTTTATTTGGATAAAATTTATATGCACAATATGTTACTGTCAGATAAATAAAAATGAATAAACAGTGATATGATGCTTCATATTTAGGTGTAAAAATACACTGACGTGATTTGGGCAACTTTAATCAATTTTTGAGATTACCGATAGTTTTTATGATCACAAAAACCTTTAATTAGAAAGTCTACATCTCACTGTGCTTAAAACGAAATTCGGTGACCATTTTTTAAACCCATTTTTTAATCTCATCACCTTTAATCTTTTTTTAAATTTTTAAATCATTAATAAAGTATTAAAGTGCCCTTTTAAAATAGACGAAACAGATAATTTATTGAACTAATAATTACATCATTCCTGTTTCTTTATTTATAGAGTAAACCTCTTCCTCGTGGTAGTGCACAGTATTCCTTGAAGGATCTCCACAGAATTGATGAGTTAATTAAACTACATTTTGAAAAATAAACCGAAGTCCTACCTTATTTTTTCAGTATATATATGTATATAATAAACCTGTGTTACACTAATCTCTTACATTTATGCCGTTGCTCGTTACTTTATGTCACTTGTAATAATTGTCTTCCCCCAACTTTAACTATATTACCTACTGTTAACTCATCGTTTTTTTGTTTCAAATATTCATAACCCCTTCCTATCTATGTTGATTTTCTACAATTATGTCATAATTAAAAGACTTGGCAGTTCTACGTAATGCTCTTTCGTGTGATATTGTACTTTGCTTGATCTATTTATAATGAGATGTAAGTAGTACACTGAATGTGATGTAGGTTAGCTGTTGTAATACTCTTCTTCAAACTCAAATTTTTTTCATATTGTATTCAATGAAGGCTTGGGCAGAGGAAATCAGTTATATTATGAAAAATTACGCAGTGTCTGTTTAAAATATGAAAACAACACATTAAATACACTATATGCACATCTTTCTTGAATTGTCTCTTACAAAGTACATTGTTCTTCCATTCATGTTCTTTATTTTGCCTTCTGTGGTGTACAATTTATTTTTTTAATATTAAAATCGATTGTATATGGGAAGTTGTCTCAATCTGCTTCATTTTCGATCACATCAACAATTCGTCTCATAGTATCATGACTCCTAAATATATGGACTACGTTTCCTGTTTGTTTAATAATCTGTCAATCCTTACTCATTGTTCTTATACATATTCTAATCATTTTGCTCAACCTGAAATTACTTTGTGTCCGTCTTACTTAAGGAACAAGTCACGACTTCTAAAACTGAACTGTTAATTTTCACTCTTTAATGACCGTATTTCCTGTGACAATCCTAAGAAAAAGCTTTCACTTATGTCTCGAGTTTAGTTTGCTAATCATGACTGGGACAAGGAAATATCCTTAAATTTTTCGTTTCACGATATTTTATATTGTGACTTAGTAACGAAACGTTTTTTTATTTTAACACAGATATTGGCACAAGGAGGCACCACATTATATATGCGACACACAGATCTCATTTGATACGTGTGAGGGCTGTGATACTGCCTGGGTACCCAAACCGCGGCATGTGGTTTTCTTAGGGGGCCACACACGGAGCCTTCGACCTGAAGGTTTGATCCACAAGGCAGTGGAGCATCGTAAGGAGATGCAGTCCCATGGTAGCCGGTGACCAATAATTGGTTCATACGTCATTTGTTCCTTCAAGGTACTGGAGCCCATGTGCACCATTTGTTTGGAATCAGGGTTTTCCAACTTTCCTATGTGGACCCTTCGTATCCACTAACCCGGTTAAAGCGCCGGACATTCTCTTTTCGTCCTCTCACTTTCGTAAACAACACCCCGCCACGAGAATGCAGTGAGTAGGACTTCCCTGGCAGAGGCTATATAGGCGTGGCCATGTGAGAGCATTTAGAGAGGGAGAGCGAACTCTCGGCCGTACCAGGGCATTTGGGGGCAGTAACGAAACGTACGAGCAAAGAAAAGCGACACTTGCTTCTAGATATTTGAATATGCAGGCTAAGTTCTTGTATCATTTCCTTCTTACAATATGGTGTTTAATCGTTTGATAGGATAGTTCGCTATATATTTATAGTAAATAAAAAATTAGTCAAATTACATCGATATAAATAGTTTTTTTTTTTTGAGAAAAGTCTATCTAGTTTTAAAGGGTTTTTCAGCGTTTGATAGATGATTTCTTTCCTTTATACTCCTAATTAACTATCGTCTCAGATTTCGTTAAGAATAACAAACATTTATGAAGAATTCACGAATTTGTTTAATTATTATACACGCATAAATCATACAACAGTTTATGGTCATCATTATACAACAATCTTGTTTTCTTTTGCCCATTTCTTCATAACACGTATAAGATATTCTGTCTGAGGGTTATTTGTATTACGCAAGATTTGGATTATCTCTCGAAGTCTTTCCTTGGGTTCTTGTCCATCTATTATGAGCTGGAAGGCACCGACACATGCTCCACGTTTACCCTCCCAGTATTCTGGGTTTTGGTCCAATCTTTCTAGTACATCGAATGCCTTAGCGGCGTAATAAAATTGTGCCATTTTGTAACAGTCGTTAGCTATTAACTGCAGCAGACTGAAGGATTCGGCTGAAGTTTCCATTTTCAGGTATAGCTCCCATGCTAAACGAGCTTGTTTAGTCATTATGTAGCACCTTGCTAGCCAACTTAAATAGGTATATTCTGAACGAATATGTTCTGATTGGATGAGCAAGAACACTTCTTGTGCCTCCTTATAGGCTCCTACAGCTGCCTTAGCTTGAGCATAGTTGAAATTAAATATATCGTCATTATAAAAGTAGCTTTTTATCGAGTTTAAATATATAAGGACATCATCAAACTGTCGAAGAAGAAAAAAACAAGAAGACATACATTGACGTCCAGATATTGTATCACATTCACTGGCTGATCCTCCCACTAGCTGAAAGTACTGTTGAGCCTGCTTCAAGTGCTCACGTGACCCATGCTCTTGACCCATAATAGCATTCACAACTCCTTTTAGTACATATTCTTGTGGTGTGCTAGGGTCGATTTCTTTAGTAAGTTCATATGCTTCTTGTAGTTCGTCATTTTTTAAATGGAAGATGATGAGATTAAGTCTTGCTTCTGGCAGGACGTCTAACAAGGGTGGTAGCACCTAAAAAATATACATATATTCACTGTATTGTAATTTGGTGAGATAATCGACTATTTTAGTGATATGAACTATTAAATGGTTTTCAATAAAACTACCTATTTATATGTGACAGAAAATATCGGATTTCTGCCGTCTTTGAACAGTTTAAATTTATTAACAAGGAAGTATTGAAGATCAGGTAGAAATGAGTCAGTTCCAGTTTTTTTTAACTTATTAACACAGGGGACAAGCATGACGAAAAGTACAGTAAGACCAAATTGGCCATACTGTTAGGTTGTAAATGTATCTCGAAGTGATGTTAGTGGTAAATAGGAAGTCATTGCTAGGACATTTCTTGAATAACATCGGAAAGTTTTCCCACAACAGCACATGGAGAGCTATGGACCGTGTAGTAACTACAAGATTCTTATTCAGGTGTACTTTCCTCACCTAAATCAACGCATTTAACCTTTAAAAAGTATAGTCAGTAGCTCAGCCATGCAAGAATTTTTTTCTAAACATCAATAAGTAAGCGGATATAGTGCCAATAAGCCTTTGGTGCGCGCACACTTGATTTTTTTACGCGACGCACCAAAACTTCATTTAGTATTCGAGCTTCGACTAGGGTCCAGAATCTGTTCCCAGTACCCATTTAAATAGAAGATACGTACATTTTAGAGAGTTTAGTCTTTGATTAAATCACTCTTACTCCTTGTAAGTAGATGACATGAAGACTTACCATCTAATACGAATTCTGAGCTTCGAATTTGTGTCACCTAACCTGGGGTTTCACTCACAACAATAAAAATCCAAACATGTTCAATAAATTTAAATAAACCGGCCCTTCATTTTAAAAAAATAATGTACTAGGAAGTTGGTCATAAATCAGTTCTTGTAAGGTTGGCAACAAGAAGCTACAAATATAGTAGGATCTTATCATATAATAAGTGACAATATTCATGTATGTTAGAAAACATGGAATTTAATTTCAATATTACCTGCAGAGCTCCTTCCCCATTACGGAACACAACTAAATTGTGCTTAATGAGGTCTTGTGCATATGTAAATGATGAAGTAGCAACACAGTGAAGAGCTTTTAGTTCCGCTTCGGCTGCCTTGCCATTGTACGACCTGAAATTGATGCACGCTTTTAGATTAATGGCCGTTGCACTATCTGGATAACGTTGCTGGTATATTCCCAATACTTCCTGAGATATATCGTAATAATCCATCTTATAGTAACATAAAGCTATGTTTACATTTAATGCCAAGTATTCTCTATTATCCATTAGGATGCGTTTATATATGTCAATAGCTTCCTGATGGTGGTTTTTAAGGCTGTGAATTGACGCCAGTGATAGTTGATCTTCTGTTGAGTTGTCTAATGAATTGTGGTAATTGAGAAGGGCGCGTTCGTCATTTAATTTATGAGCTATGTGGAACAAAAGTCTACTTTGTAGTTTACATGTTGGGCCATCTTTAGCAGATTTCATTGCTTCCTGATACATTCCGAGGAAAAAGTAACAACATGCGAGATACGTGTGAACGTCTGGAGGCACATTAGTTTTTTCGAGAAGTTTCCTATACTCATCGGCGGCTTTTTTGTATTCTCCCAAATGAAAGGCCGAGTATGCTACCCATAGGTCTGTCTCAATACTGGAATTACCACAGCAGCGCTCAAACTCCGAAAGAGTTAGTGCTCCGGTGAAATCGCGCTTGTCAACGAATTCAATTAAATTCGGAATCTTTCTTGATTGTATTGGAACAGCCTTTTGTTTCTGGAGAGCAGGTTTAGAACGTGAAAGCATCATATTGATGAATATGTTTGTGCAGTTTAATTGTTTATAAACTTAAAGCTGAACTTAAGGTTTCGGTTACTAACAGAAGCTTGAAAAATAACGTGTATGAATTTAGCGAGGACAGTTGCATATATGTGTCTGGAAAATCCGAATATAAAACCCAGGTGCATAACAACGAGAAAATCAATGATTCAACAAACGCCGGACAGATGTAGATTATGGATAATTGTTAACAGTATGATAGTGTTTAAAGTCAAGTAAATAAAGCGCCGTTTATATTGTCAAGACAACGTACAACAAACAAGTGTTTCTGGAAGGAATGGAAGAAGCTTTCTTCTAACCGGCTTTCATATCTAATATCAGTAGATCACCGAAGCCTCCAGGTATGAACCTGGTTGTATTTAACAACAAACAGAGAAATATTGGTTAACTCTAGTAAAATACCCTTCTGAATTCCTAGGAATATGTTAGGCTTCCACAATATCTTCGATATATTTGTTACGAGCTTGTATTAAACAACTGATTTCTTTAAGGTTGCTGATTGTTATATCAGTACGGATTCAGATACTTAGTTATCTTCAATGGTTGGTAGTGTAACTACGTGACTACATTAATTCTAGTTATTAGTCGATTTGCATACCTGGAGGTTTAAGCGTGTGTGTTTATCTCAGGAGAGTGGAAATTATCGATATCAGCAGCTATACAATTACCAGTCAGGAGGCTGATTGTTCACAATGTGAAAATAATGACAGAATGATAATTTAAGTGTTAAAGAGATTTTTGTTTCACGAATAACAGACAAGTCGAGTAACTTGTGATGTGCGAGAAGACGAAGTTGGGGGAACAAGAGGAAAGCAGGGATGATAACAAGAGGGGCACGATATCGTGAAGCGTTTCGTAGGTTTCAACCATTGAGAGAGACAGCTCCAAGGTATCTACGCATAGTATAGTGAGTTGTGTTTGCTTTGGCTACATCTACTGTGTACTTTGGACTGGTGTTAAACCTCCCTGTAGTTATAAGCCAGGTATCGCTTATATGAGGCAACCGGGATCTGATTCCTATGGAGGACGTAAGTTAGTCGTATCAAACGAGGCGTGACATGCCATCTCAACAGATAAGTTTTAGTCTGTTGTCTGTTTCCCCTTCTAATGTTGCAACATTCTTTTGAAGCCTAAGTGAATTCTCTTCACGGTTAATGGACCCCTAGATCTTGACGGTGTCTGCATAGATAAGTGCTACAGAGTTAAATTTATCTAAAAAGTCATTAGTAAGATTCAAAATACAGGAATGGAACTGAGATTGTTCTTTTTGAGACTCCTGATGTTGAGACTTTTCAATTCGTATGTTCTTCATTTATCTTGGTAAGAAATACTTTGGCAATATAGCTGAGCACCTCATATATTCGCCGGGATTGATAAACATTTGACTGCACACTTGCTACTAATTCAGTTCGTAAATACAATGTCGCTCCGCACCCATTCTTGTTTTATCCTCATTGCAAAACAAAGATATGCCGTGTATTACTAGCTCCTGGTCTGCAGTCTCAGATGCTGATATTTAAGATATCTATATCATATGAGTGTTTCCATCGTTACTTAGTTTGTGCTATTCATCCACTTTGTTCCATAAAGTTGGGGCGTTCGTATATAGGCAGTTGGTGCTTTCGATTCGAAAGGTGTGATCTTTCTCATTGTAGTAAAAATTTCAGCTTTGGAAGAACAATTAGCTAGGTGGCCTTTGTTGGTTATAATAACAGGAGTCCTGTAGTTGATTCCAATTTGCCTAGAATTAATCAAGCGTTGAGAAAGTAAGAGATCCACTCAATTTCTTCCGGGCCTGTGGAATTTTTGAGGTTTCCTCACAATTTCTTTTATTTGAAAGACAATAAAAACGAAGGAACATCATATGTGAAATTATTAATAAATGACTTAAATATTGTGCTTATAGCTCCTTAAGCCTTTCTCTATAACAATGGGAATGAACACAGTTGAATCAGTCTTTCGTCATACGACAGCTTTCCAGTTCCAGAAATCAACAGTTTTCCTGAAAAAATATTTTCTTGTATAGTAATGGTGAATTAGTTCTGCTATAGGAAGTGTTTCTAGGTAAAAAAAACACAAATAGAATAACGCGGGATACTATATTTAGTTTCCAGGATGAAATATCAAGGAATTTGAAATGTTGAATCGACCATGTCCGACAGTATAAAATCCTTACACGTTACTGCTCTTAAAAGGTAGCACTTATAGTCACTACTTCTGAGTAACCAGAAGTTTAAATTTTGAGTTTTACTATTAGATTTATTACTAGGACGTATCCTGCACAAGTATTTCAGAGGATATTCAGGAGCTTTTATAATATTTACTCACCACCGATATGTGAAGATATTGCTTGTAAAGACAGAAAGAAAAGTTCCCACAATAATAGCAGTTTACTATAAAGATATCGGTTTTTCACATGTGTTATTCCAGCTGGCAATTGAAAAAACCTAATGGAAGCGGGTTAACTAAACACTGGCGGGCTTTGTGTTTGTATGGATTGTTGTAATAGTGTGTTAAGTGGGGTCTGTTTTGTTATGCATATTTTACTATCTCTATGTCGAATTAGTATCTTAAAAGCTAACCCTCTACTAGAGATGCTTTCGTTTTATTTACCCGAGTATGAAGATGGTGAAATATAGTTGCTCAAGGATTACCCTAAAGAAATTCCTCGATGTTTTTATACCACATGGGTAATATCGTTAACTTCGTGAAAAATGTTACAGACCTTTTTGTCCAAAGTTCTTTTTTCGTCGTGTTAGGTCTATCTTATTGTATATTTGCAAATCTCACATTTCTTGTCATGTAAATGTGTACATATTCACTCGTGGTTCACATGACCTATTTTAGTACTTAACTGAAAGATATTTCTTGCGTCGGGGTTGTTTCCTTGGTAGTTTTGATGTCATGAGTGCCAGTTCGAGAATATTCCAAATAACCAGATGTTCTGTTAGTATCAAACACTTATGTATTTGTTAGCTCTCCAATCTCCGCTTCCAGTATATAATTGAGTGAAATAAGCTAAAGCGATATATCAGTCCTGTTAGGATAGCTGCATACGTGTTATAGATCTCGAATTATTAGTGTATTGTATTCATATGATGAGTCTGCTTGATTTTATTGTCTAATCTACCCAATGGTAGTTCTCAGTATGACCAGATACCTGTTTGGTAAAATTCTTTGAAACTAGTTTGCCGTTCCTCATTTACTTGAGCTTAATCAATAAGTTGGGGCTTGTCCATCCGTAATTGTTTCCAGTCGTATATACATTGTACTGTTTCTAAATAATGATTGAATAACCTATCAATCAGCGAGCAGATTCATCTTATATAATGCCTCATGAAACAATGGTTATTAGCCTACAAAACAAGCTTATATCATTCGGCCACATCACGCTGAACATATCCGTATAATAATTGTTTTTATTTCTTATTTTAAACCCAGTCTAATTATCCGTGGTTGGAGACCCGAAACAACATATATACCATTGTCTGGGCAGCTAGGTAATTTCATTAGTTCCCATACAATCGTTATAAATCACAGCTCCATGTATAAACCTCTTTAATTGCTGAGTTATTTTGCTTAACTGAAAAATTGTGGTTAGTTTTATTGTTTTGTCTTAAATTACCTCTCACTATATATCTTTGATATAAGGATTTCATAAGTGTTATTTAAATACTGAGTCGTGAATTATCCCTATTTTAGATTGTTTGTTTATGGAGTGTACAGAAGTTTGATAGCGATGTCCAGTGATACACGAAGAGATTTGCTTCTCGGTATAGATAGTATGATTACCAAATTACTCACTGCTATTCGATTTGAACGCAGGATATATGATAATTCTGTAAGTTTTAACAGTTTTAGTCCCTCTTCTTTTCGCAGCTCTCATAAGTATTTTTATAAATTATGGTATCTGTGGCTTTAGATTGACTCGTATAAGATATAAGAAATTCGGAACAACACTTGATTCCCTTTAAACTTACTCGTATGGAACTGAACTCTTGAGAAATGACACCTTGTTTACTAGTAAATAAATTCTTATTTTAGTAAATATTTACTATATTTCTGAATGACTTTGATTATCATAGTTCATGGTGTGGTTTCATGTGCTTAGTATATCAATTTCTAAATACGTTAGCTCCTTAGTTAAAATCTTTCTGATCTCACTTGTAAATTTGTCGAAAATCAAAAGTTCTTAGTTCGTAGGTGATTGTTAATGTATCTTACTTTACAAGATTTGTAGATCAGTGACCTCATTTTGTAGTATTTTCTGTGAATGGAGTCTTTATAGAACACATTTAAGATATTGTTTAACCTGAATTAACTTTCATTTATGTCACTAAAGTCAACATGTGATCAACTATTTTATGTTTATATCAAGGAAATCCGATCTGTTTTCTTGTCAAATTTCTGTCTTGATGTAACTTGTTACACACTATGATGGTTGTGTAAACAATAAGATGTAGAACATGTTTCTTCCCATTTTATATCCGTAGGGTGGATATTTCACTTTAATAAGTTTTTAACTTTGACTTAGCACGAATCAGTTGATAAAATTGTAACTGGACTACAAAGTTTCAATTATCATTTGATAAACAACATAAAAGCTTGCGTGAACTTCTAGTACGGTGAACCAAAAGTTCCTAAACAGTTTTTCAGGTTTGTTTTATAATGCTAGAATACAGATCTCGTTTTTGTTTCATAAAATATGACATGTTGATCGTATACAAATTTATGCAAGTAGCTGATATTGTGTACTTTTATCCACTGCATTTCAGTACTAAATTATGCTTGCCAAAGAAAAGTTTTGCTATTTTATTTATTTATTTGAACACATAAATATTGACACAAAGGGGCACCAAATACGCCACACCATAACAGTGAGAATGTGAGATAGGGAACGTAAAAGGCGTATAAGAAAAAGGAGAACAATAACGAACATAAATTAGTGTATGGTAGTAAAATAATAATGGGAGAGGCGTTTCGGTTAGCAAAGATACAACCAGAAAGATTTCTTGCAGATAAAGAAGTTACGTCTATTTTTTACAAAAAAAAATAAACGAAAGTTACAGCAGGATCACCACTGGCTTCTATTCTGGGCCATTTCTGATAGCGTCTCAAGCCACTGCACCGTCGCCAATTGAGTTACTTTCGTTGTGCCCGAACACACGATGCGGAACTTCTGATTTACTAACATGGTGTTGCCACTGGATGTCAGCAATCCTTCGGAGACAACGATGATCAAACGCAGAGAGTTGTCTAACATCCTCAACTCGGAGAAGCCAGGTTTCACAAGCATAGAGCAAAAGTGCTCTCACCGACGCGTTGTAGATCCGACCTTTTACGACCATACTAACATCACGAAGGCGCCAACGATGGCCCAGATTGGCATTAGCCGCTCTGGCTTTCATTGTAGGTGGCAGCTACCTAGATACACGGACTTCTCAACTACTTCTATCTGCTCACTACCCAGGGTTGTAGTGAACAAGAACACGGGTGGGGACAATCGATTGTATTTAGCACAAAAATTACAGACTATCTCAATAAAATGTGAATACCATAAAGTCAATCGTCAATTTGCAAAATATCATTCCATCATATCAAACTGTACTGTTCCCGTTCCAAACACTAATCCATTGTCTCCCATTCCATTGTACATGTGTTTTCTTACAATTCCATTGTGCTCTTGCTCTTCCTTTCTTGATCTTCGCCATCTTTTGCTGCCGGACCTTACGTTTATTTAACGCACGTTATATACTACTTATATGAATATAAGTAGCTCACACCACAGGGTGAGCGCGGGCTCAAGATCCTGCCAGTCTTGTAAAATTAATTTGCACTTCGAAGATGCAAAGCACATACCGTACCTACGGACATTGATTACGAACTGATTATGTGCGGATTGCATGGCTTGGGCATTATCTCACAGTAAGACAATATCCTCGTACTCAAGGTCGAGAAGTCTTTCTCTAGGCAACAGATCCACACTACCAGTACCTATGCATTCATTGAAACAGTCTCGCTTATCTTTCACTTTTATTTGCACTTTAGTTTCATGAAGTTGGAAGTTCACCTGAGATTTCCGACGTAAATAGCAAAGAAAAAAGATCTCCATCAACGACATTTTGTAAAGCTACACAAACTGTACAAACATTTCCAGTATCTTCCGATATATGTGATCCACCAAATAATTTGAGGTTAAACAAAGACTTTGTCTCAAAGTATGCATCATCCGGTTTTACTTCATCTGGACATCGATCATGTGGCTCATCGATAGCGCATCGTTATGAGGAAGATATCAACAATCACTTTACAATAGTGTGTCCCTCACATCCGAGCTTATCATGCTCATGCAGTTGTAAACTATATCATAATAAGTATTGTTCCACTCCTAAGTAAGTTTTAAAATAGCATTGCTCAATATGCAGTGATTAGTTTTTAAAGAAAACTAGTTAATGATCGAACAACTATTAGATTATTATTTTTGGTAATTGTATGTTCCAATGTAATTGAATATTTTAAAAACATCGATTATGCAGTCAATCAATTTTTACATGATAACCGTCTTACTTTCTTTGATAAAAAATCAATTAAATGAACCTTTAAATTTAAAACCTCTTATATCACTGATAGTAATACTTCAGCAATTGTGTCCATCTGAAATGATTTTTTTTCATACTAATTTATAGGGAATATTTATATCCATTTGCAGTAGACTGATTTACAATAGTTTTCTACTGGTTTGTTTCACAGAATTCCAACTATAAAAATGTAGAATGCTACTTAGTGTTATGATCATACTTCACAGAAGTGGACCTAGTGAACAATGAGTCTGAAAAAGCAAATTGGTTTCAAGCCTATCCACATATGATAAATCAACCATTCACTCCTTAACAGGTTCTAGAACATAGAAGTACTTACCGACTCCTGATTGCAGTACTGTTTCTTGACGTGAAGGTTATGTCTGACTCCAGTCACTGACACCTTGTATCTATCGTAGAAAGTGCACAAACCTACTGAAATCTCTTTACTTACTTGTTTACGCCTGTTACCCCTCGTAAAGGAGCATATGCCGCCCATCAGTTTTCTCAATCGAACTTTGTCCTGGGCAATCCTTTCCAGTTACTATTCGTTCTTTAGATGTCTGCCTCCGATTCCTGGAGTAATATGTTCTTTAGTCCTCCTCTTTTCCTTTTGTGTTCAGAACTCCGAGTTAAGATATTGGTTTACAGTTGCTTTGATTCCTATATACTTTTCAGTTGTAGGAATGCCGTCTATTTCCAATTTGTGCCTTCATATTTGAGTCAGATCCTCCTTGTTCATCAATGTTGCCCAGATATGTAAAAGTTTCCACCTGTTCCAGAGCTTCTCCATCCAATGTGATTGGCTTGGTGTTCTGTGTTGTATTTGAGGATTTTGGATTTTCCCTTGTGTATGTTGAGTACTTCTTCAGAGTCTGGTGCTACATTGGTTGTCTTAACCTGAATTTGTTGGTGCATATGGGATAGAAGAGCTGGTTCATATGCGAAGTCCGAATCGTCTAGTTGCATCCAAACTGTTTGTTGTATTCTGGGCGAAGGCTCTTTGGTCTAGTTTTTACCGAATCATCATCTGAACCGGCTACTATATTAAATAATTTATTTGGTTATTGTTAGGCAAATAAAATATCAGTTGACTCGCAATTTTATTCATTATATCGTTCAACATCGTTTTCTTTTGTAACAACTTCTACAAGTATTTTTAAAAAATATAATTTTTTAATTGTTATTTAAATAACTATTATTCTTTAAAAAACGAAATATTTTTTTGTTTGTCAGATGCAATAATAATGATCTTAGTCGAACCGGTTATATAACAACTCACTCTAACCATATTATATCAGCAGATGTTAAAGATTCTCGCAACGAACGTCGAACGTCTTCCACAAGTGGTTGTTCCACTGCTTGCTCTTGTCAAAGACATACATGTGGTTTCGCCACTCCAAAGTATCCCTCTGAGTTGTTTCCTAATAAATCTGATTGTTCTTGCTCTTGTCATATGCATGTCTTATCGAAACTCTCTTAATGTTATCTCATAAAATGCATTTGTACAGAAAAACTATGTATTTTGTAAATTTGTGCTATTTTATTTTTCCCTAACCTTGTTACCCCATTTGCAAGTAAACTTGTTTTGTTGAAATTTGTGTGTTAGATTTTTGAAGGTCATCTGGAGAGGAGGCACCAAATATTTATTTAAACACATAAACATTGGTACTATGAGGCACCGAATACATATGTGCCACATATATCATTCGGTTCATGTGAGGGCTGGGATACTGCTCGAGTGCCCAGACCGAAGCAGGTGGTTTTCTTAGGGGGGCCACACCCCGAGCCTTTGACATAAAGGTCTGATCCACAAGGCAATGGAGCATCGTGAGGAGATGCAGTCCCATGGTAGCCGGTGACCAACAATTGGTTCATACGCCATTTGTTCCCTCAGGATACTGGAGCCCATGTGCACCATTGGCTTGGGGTCCGGTTAAATCGCCAAAGATTCGCTTTTCGTCCTCTCATTTTCGTAAACAACACCCCCGCATCGAGAAGGCAATGAGTAGGACTTCTCTGGCAGAGGCTGTATACGCGTGGCCGTGTGAGAGTATTTTGAGAGGGAGGGCGAGCCCACCCCACTCTCGGCCATACCAGGGCATTTGGGGGCAATCTGGAGAGCACTTTTTATATCTAAACTTCCTGTTAAAATAAGTAAAAAAAGTTTGTTTACAATTCTACACCAAATCTATAGCCTAATCCATAAATTATTAAGTCATTATCGTACGTAGTTTACTCCAAATTATTTGTGTAATGTTGTGGTACGTTGCAGTTTGATATATTGCATTATCTAATTATCAGCATTATGGATCAGAGTAACAAAAATACTTTTTGACCAAACATATTTTTCTTAGTTTTTTAAATACGTTTATGCTACTCGTAAGTAGCTAAATTTGCGTCTTAAAAATTTAAGACAGGCTTTTCCTCATCAAGTCGTATTCGACTGAATAAGCACACTGAATTTTTAGAAATTCAAAATGTTTTAAATCTAACCTTTCGAAATTAATTTTAGTTCAGTTCCTAAACCTCATTATTGATAACAAAGTCAACTTATCGTACACTTAATAATAAAAATATGTCTTGTTATATCCCAATGAGTAGAAAAATTGTATTTCTGACGTTTCATGACGTAATGTAAGCCACTTCTTCAGATTAGATCATGAGACGTAAAGAATTCAACTTCCCTACTCATTTGAATATAACAAAAATATATTTATTATCAACTTTCTACCCAATGCTCAATGTGTTTAAAACTATCAAATCCAGGCTTGGCATTGACACTTATAATCTCATCAGTTACTGTACATTTATTACATTTCTCTTACGATCAATGATTAAAAAAACTTGCAAAACCATTTGAGATGTGTTCCAGTTATTTTAAATGCGGAAGCCAGATAGTATCACTAGTATTTACACAATTATTAAAATTTATAATTCAGTGCTTGAATCTATAATTAATAAATTCAATGATACTTGACTTTACGGATTTCCCTCAAAAACTGATGAATCAATACAATAAGCCAAATTCTCATTATTTTTTAAAAGAATTTTAGGTGCTTTGTGTACGATAGAACCGGACAAGTATTTGAATTTCTGTGTTATGATTTGTTTCCAAAATTTTATACCATTAAAGTAAACTACACACAAGGTTGAACCTAAGACATGGAGAGTATGATAACTAAAGCATTTTTCAAATTATTGAAGTACCGACCATTGAAATTCAAATCAATGGCTTAGTTATTTCAACTTTCGTTACCATCCCGTTTGCAGTTATAGATTTTCAATGATGTAAATCTCAGAGTAGTTTAAAACGATTATCACTGTAAGTTGATGGTTGGAGGTAGTCGATGGAAAACCCTGGACCAAGGTGTTGTGTCATTTGGCACTCATTAGCAAGGTATAACTGTTATCTAGAGAGAACTGAAGCACTTTGGTAAATTCGATCCCATGTCAATCAGCTTCAAGTTCAGAGACGTTATCACAGTTATTTAGACCGCAATTAACTAAATAGCAGCAAACCTGTGTCCAAAGTTTCTTGTCGACTACTAACAACCACCTTACATCTCAGTATTGTCCTTGCGATGTCTAGTTACTTGTACTAATGGCTACATTGAAACTTCGTCGGTAGGATTCGATCAGCACTCAAGAAGGAATTGACGTACATGACGTCAATCACTACACAGTGACCAATCGATTGTAAGACAATTTACTGTTGTTATCTTAATTTCCTTGTAAAATGTTCCTACATATATTGCCTTTTTGTAAATAAACGGCAAAGGAGTGACGGGATTATTTGAGATAGCACCATTGTACATGCATTATTAACATTTGTCAGACAAACTTTCTGTCTAGAATATGAATTTTGTAGTAGTACTAAGTCCTACAATGCATCAATCTATTTTGTTTTCTGTTAAAACTATAGAATAAAATAATACAGAAAAATGAACAAACTTAGAATGTATCCCAAATCTGGTACTTATACACGTGCTATGTGCTAACCGCCCAACTGACTACTAGAGTGAAGACATAAGAATGAGTAAGAAAGGGTGTTGGGCTACCGAATAAAATGCACAAATACTCATATATATATGCCACTCTAATCCTGAAGAAATTAATCCATCTCATAGCCGATGAAATGAACTTGTCCTTTACGTTACTTCTAATTGCCATCAATTGACCATCTCATTAGGCTAATTCTAAATTGGCTCTCTATGCCAGTAATACCAGCCGGGTGTTGTTTTTTTTAACTCATCGAGCATACTGGATTCAATCTCACTGTAATCACCTTATCATCAAAATATTACACATATGTACTTATTTGGTCGAAACAAAACATCCATTCGCATGGTAACAAAGACTAAAACATAATATTTTTTTAATTTTAGCACTGAATAAAATGTATTGAAATTCAAGGAAAACAACAAATAGATAAAAAAAATCTCATTAAATTTAGATACATGAAACATAGAACTTGGTATTGAAATTAATATTCAGTTTCATCATCATAGTGTTACATGAAAAGGATACATAATACTAATTAACAATGGGGAGAAACATCACCAAAATGTAACTGCTATATATGTGTATGGAAAATAATTATTATAATGAAACGGTTTCAAAACACCTTCGTTTCTTAGTCAACAGTGATAGATTTGTCTTAGATAACATATGTTTTGTTGAAGATATTTCACTGCTTCTTGTTTAAGTTGCAAATTATTCTATTTCATTTTAATAAACAGAAAGTGTCAAGTTATTACTTTGTTGTGATGTTTCACACTAGGACAAAACAGGTGTACATTACTTACTGGTTTCCAATAGTTGATTAACTAAAATTGTCTTGTGATGTAAATTACAAGCAGAGACTGTTAAGTTATCAATAGTTTGCATCACAAATAGATCTTAATTAGATCACCATTGAAAATCAGGAAGCACTAGATTCTATCTCTTATGGTTAAGTCATAAGTGTACATCGATAAGGAGTTCTACTTTAGAACAAAATAGCTGTCCTGTAGCTCCTGGTTTTCAATAGTCGTCTAACTACATCTAGCCCATGATGCAAACTATGAAAAGAGGCCGTAGAAAGAATACAGAGTTTTGCACTAAGTGGTTGTAAGCCATATACGAGAGTACCCAGAATCTAGTTTTTCTTATGACCAACACTGATTATGATAATGTGTATATGGATACGCTCTAAAGCTTATAGCTTTATTGATCAAAGAGGTGAACGTTGAATTGCTGAAGCAGAGATGGATGGTGGCTAGTAGTGCGACCCATGATGTCCGTTTCGTCCTATTTCATGTTTGTCAGCTGGATATACTTGCAACCAATACTTGATGTACGCTCTGGGACTCGAACACAGTGCCATTCTCATTTATGTCAAAAAGACTGACCAATTGCAATCATAAACATCAACAGGAAGATTCAAATAACTAGTACAAATGAATCAATTCCATGTCATCGTAATTTCGTTCAATAATCTAACTCAGTATAATAGTGAAATAAGTGCTGCTAGTAAAAATACACTAAGAAGATTGACTCTGTTAGTTTAAGTAACTTTGTACTATTTCTGTAATATTATTCTTGTCATGTGTTTAGTTTATACGTTTATCACGAAATATGATTGTTAATTTAGATACGCTGACTTATAGGACCAAGCCAATGATATATACACCAGTACGGGCAGCCTACAGTTGCGATTGGTCTTTTTCCACCTAGCCCTGCCTGTCAAGTCTAGAAAGCCAATCTCAGCCTTTGCGATAAAAATCATATTTCAAACATATGTGGTTTATATACAAACAAATCAGACCATAAAATAGAAATTAGCGTTTGTACAAGATCAGGCCAAAAGTGGCTGTGATTGTGGGACCTGTTACTAATAAACTGGGAATATCTCAAGAATAGTAAATCGTATGATAATAGTCAGTAGGTTAATTAAAAACTTATAATGAAAGGAATATGCATATACATATAATATAGTCACTTAATAGTCATACAATAAGAGTATACGTATAATATTGCTAGGTTTGAAGCGGATACGAGTTTCACTTGGACTGCGAACGGAACACAGACTCGGTGATCGAAAACCAATAAGCTAGCTATTTGATGCATCCCAGCCCCGCTAACTAGAGGAAGAAGTCCAAGCTTGGAATAGAAGAAGTATATTCCCCAAACAGCCAGAAACGAGCGATAACAACAAACACAAACCAAAACGTATATCTACAGCACAAAACCGTCCTTGGGCTAGGCGGAAAGCAGGACTCTAGGCTGCTCGTACGTGCTTGGTCCGATTGATAATTCATTGCTCTCTGATTGGCGGTATTATTACGTTATCCATTAACAGGGTACTCAGGCCACAAGTTATAACAAATATTAGTTCATAAGTGATTCCTAACAGTTATCATTCGTTTATTCTCGTCCGGATATAACAATTCTTATTGATATAATTATGATAACTTGATAATTGTCAACTTTCATCACCAACGTTCTTTTCTAGATTTGATCTCGCAAAGTGTAATAACTTGAATTGATACCGTTTTGTGTCAAGTCTCGTGTTTTTCTGATAAATTTTTGGTTGAATTTCCGCATTTAATAAG